GGAGAACAGCTCTTAAAATGGACCCACTGCATGGGCAGCACAAGCGCCATAAGGACAACCTCAGTTCTTACTAGCTTTGGAAACTTGAGTCTCTGTGCATCTCAGGTTATCCATGGGAAAATTAATTACCTTTATTTGTTTTATTATATGATGTCCTTATCTTAAGTAAAACAAATCCAACTACAAGGAGGAACATGAAGATGAAAATCCAAGCAACCCAAGCTGCAGAATTCTCAGTCCCTGGGAGGAAAAAAACCAAAAACAAACTTGAAATACTAAAGTCAAGCATAAAACAGGATTTTTTTTCTTTTTCAGTGTAAGAACATTGATGTTCCAGATAAAAATAGAGACCAACATTTGTTGAAATATAGCAGTTTGTTACAGTGACAGCTCTAGTTTCTCCCCCAAGAAAGTCACCATCTCTCAGATATGAATACACCATCAGAATATCGATACTGGTGCGTGTTAGTGCAAATTAAAAGACAGAAAAAGGGAATCTATAAGCTCTGTGGGGAAAATAAATTCAATGTATTTTATATCCTTTCAGATGTATGTCACAATACAGGTACAGGCAGTCCCCGGGTTACGTACAAGATAGGGACTGTAGGTTTGTTCTTAAGTTGAATCTGTATGTAAGTTGGAACTGGTGTCCAGATTCAGCCGCTGTTGAAACTGATCAGCGGCTGATTCCAGGAAGCCCGGGGCAGAGCAACTCTGCCTCGGGCTTCCTGTAGTCAGCCGCTGGTCAGTTTCAGCAGCGGCTGAATCTGGACGCCAGTTCCGACTTATATACAGATTCAACTTAAGAACCCCAGGCGTCCACAAGTCAGCTGCTGCTGAAACTGATCAGCGGCTGATTCCAGGAAGCCCGGGGCAGAGCAACTCTGCCTCGGGCTTCCTGTAGTCAGCCGCTGGTCAGTTTCAGCAGCGGCTGAATCTGGACGCCAGTTCCGACTTATATACAGATTCAACTTAAGAACCCCAGGCGTCCACAAGTCAGCTGCTGCTGAAACTGATCAGCGGCTGATTCCAGGAAGCCCGGGGCAGAGCAACTCTGCCTCGGGCTTCCTGTAGTCAGCCGCTGGTCAGTTTCAGCAGCGGCTGAATCTGGACGCCAGTTCCGACTTATATACAGATTCAACTTAAGAACCCCAGGCGTCCACAAGTCAGCTGCTGCTGAAACTGATCAGCGGCTGATTCCAGGAAGCCCGGGGCAGAGCAACTCTGCCTCGGGCTTCCTGTAGTCAGCCGCTGGTCAGTTTCAGCAGCGGCTGAATCTGGACGCCAGTTCCGACTTATATACAGATTCAACTTAAGAACAAACCTACAGTCCCTATCTTGTACGTAACCCGGGGACTGCCTGTATTTTGCAGGTTTTAATATTTAACTAAACTACCAATAGCTTTAAACTGTGTTAACATGACAGCTTGGAAAAGCATGTCTACTTTGTCATGCTTTCCACCAAGACAAGACACCTGTGCTAGTTTAAAAATCACCACAAGTATTGGCTGGTTACATAACCCATACTAGGAAAGTCTTTGTCTCAATTTAGTGGCTCCCAGTGTGCATAGTGTGGGATCATCAATCACTTAAAAGTAGCATTTCAAGTCTCACTTTCATAATCTGATTCTGAATTAACCATAATGGGTCAGAAACTCACATTACTCCTCTAAGCATAAATTATACTGTACCTTTGGGTGGATGGTCACACTCCAGGTCAACTGTTGCATTGCATTTCTGCACAGTTTCTTTCCCTTCTGGGCACCTAACATTTGTAACAAAAATATAATTATCAAGTCTGTACTTGTGCTCTTCCCTGTTCTCATAGAAACAATATAGACATGTATTAAAAGTATAAATTTTGTAAAAAAAAAAATTGTCCTTACCACTTACTAAGAAAGAGAACTTGAAATAACAGATGAAGAAAAAAAGAATTCTAGACATTTGTATGACAGTATAGCTAAAACACAAAAGCCCAAGGGGTGACATTTATGTGCACAAATATTTACTGAAAGAAAAAAATACTAACTTAAAGTATGAAATTAGTCTGCAGCAATAGTTGGCCCCATGCTATAAAATTCTAGGTATTCTACTGACATTAGCTGTCCTGAATGGTGTCCTGCAAAGCTTATTCAAATGTGGCAGGCGAAGGAATCAGAAAATATAGCAGGAACATTTGTGTACAGGCAAAGCATCAAGCAGGAGAGCAACTCTCACAGATACACAGTTCAGGCATGCATTTAACTTCAAACACATAAGCAGTCCCTTTGACTTCAATGAATTATTCATGTGTCTAAAGATAAATGTGAGTAAGCGTTTAAAGAAGCTGAGTGCTACATTTTTACACACAATATAGAAGACTACTGCCAACATCAGCTACTGTACATACTTGGACTTGCATCTGTAACACATTTCACAGCCTTGAGTAGGGCAGAAATAGCCTGGCTTGCACTGACATTCAGTATCGCTCGTTGAAGTGCAGGTCCTCACAGTTACTTGATCTGAGAAAAATAAGTTAATCACAAAAGTTACAAATGTAATCAGGCTGAACTGGTGATCCCTCTTCTATCAAAAATAAGTTACACCCACACTATAAAAAAGAAGTTATTTTTAAAAAGCATAAGCATTCTTAAATCTATGAAAATAACAATAGGACTGAGGCAACAGACTTTTCTGAGGAACAAAGACTAATGATACTTTTCCCAAAACAAGCCAAATGTATTTATATATGAGACCACGCTTTGTACCTTCTTTGCACAGTTTACATGGCATGCATTCATCTAGGCCATTTGCATGAGCAGTGTAATCCTCCCCATCTCTGCAATGGCTACAAACGCCTTCAGTATGGGGAATCTTGCAGTGGTTAGCAACATAAGTGCCTGTATTAAGGAAGAAGAAGAATTCAACATTATAGCTGTATACCTCAAGTAGTATTAGGATACAGTTAACTGTATTCAAGCATATTGCAATAAGTACTTTCTCTATTGTCTGCTTCAAAAGAACTCCTTTCAGCCACTCCTTGCAAGGAGTGGCGCTGAATGGGATTAAATATAGGCAATAAATCCAGGAAGAACAAATGAGATATCAGTGGCCAGATAACATTAGAAAAATAAGTAAATAACTAGTAATCAGAGGCCAAAAGACTTGGAGTTTGTCTCCACTACAGAAAGAGGGAAAAAATATTTTACAAAAGTTTTCATCAATAATAGTTCCTTTTTTGTTTTTTTTACTTTTTGTTAAAAAGGACATTTTTCTGAAATACCAGGGGCGAGAAATAACCATCCCGCAGGCCAGGGTTAGCCCCTGGCAGTCTGCCATCACTGTGTTTACCTGCGGTTCCACAGACATGCGTGCTTGCAGCTCCCAGTGGTTGAGAATGTCAATCCACAGCCAACGGGAGCTGCAAGCACCCAGAAGTATGGAAGCAAAGGTAAACAAAGAAGCAGCGGTGTGCCAGGGGCTAATCCTGGCAAACCACCTCTGTCTTCTTGTCCCCTGTGATGTACTCTACTTACAAAGGTGCCTGTATTTTTTAATGGAAGATTTTAACAACAAAGTAATTGTGTCAGTGTTTTCCCTAGTTCTATATGGACACACATTAACATCCCTATTTGTCAATAGGCAGTTTGTCATCGTTCAACACAACTATCAGTTTGTGTTCAGAACAGGCTCGGAATAGATTCATGAAAATGCTTTACGTGAGACTGATGTGACTGGGAGCGTGTTGGGGAGCTCAGACAGCTCTGGCTAACGCTCTTTCTCTGAAACCAGTGCCATTAGCTGCTCACTGAGTTAAATTCACCCTTGTGCAGAGAGCCCACACAAGGCCTACCCTGAACTTACATCTTACCTATGGCTCTGCAGTCACGAGTTCATCCCATGTGAGTGAACTGTTGAGCCTGTGGAGAGGACTCAGGCTGCTGTGTCCCCTTGCTATCAACTGCACAATCAGGGCAGAATTCCTTGAAACAGGGCCCAAGTCACAGTAAAATAATGATGTGTGCTGTTCAAGGTCTCTGCGCCAGGGTGAATTTGACCCTTGAGTACTAAATTCACTCACAAGATTCAGAAAATCTACAGGGCAAGCCTCGTGTATAACAAATTGAGGTTAGCTTTGTCCAAGGAGCATTCTAAATGAAAGTGGCCCTATAAAGAACAAATAAATTTAACACACATCTACAAGAGGTATAGCCATATAGTTTACAAAATTAAGGAAGTTTTGCTCATAGATTTAATACACATCCAATATCTGCTATTGACACTGAGTGTTTGAGTCTGATAAGCATTATTACAATTAGGTAACGCTGGGGGATAAAACAATGACCGGGGCTTTGGTTCAGTTTTCAAGAGTTCAGACAAAGTTCTTCATCTCTGAACTGCTTCCTTCAGTATTGATGTAGACTCTGCCTTTTAGCACAGGCCCATGTTTCTTGACAGACTGCCAAGGTTACTCATGCCCAGCCTATTTCATGAAAGGGTGGATACCATTCTGAAGTGAGCTGCTGAATAAGAGGAGGGAACAGCATAAAATGGCTCTCGATGGCTTTTGCCAACATGTATTGTTCTTGTATACAGTTTTTAATCTAAAAGCTAAAAAACCCAACAGCACAAACATCTTCTCTGAGAAATGCTCCATTAGCCAAGGAAACTATAAATCATGAAGTGCTTACCAGCAGGACAGTATTTACAGCAGTAGTCATAATACAGATATTCTCCATCACCACAACTGTGGCTGCTGGGCTCTGCTCTTCGCTCAGATATTGCTGATGAATCAACCTACAGAAAATACACCCCCAATGTGTTGAATGAACAACTCCCCATCACTGTACATCCTCAGTGCGATGCCTTTGGACGTATTAGGTTATTCTAAGACTTCAACAAGAAAGAGGAAAAATTCTCTCTCGTTAAGTATAAAAGTTACAAGTAACTGCAGCCGAGTCTGTTATTTCCAGGACCAACTGTGCCAGCCCGTCACGCCAACCACCCAAATCACTCAAAATGTAGGGCTCAGAGTGGTTGCACTGTACTCTAGGGACAGCTCTGACTGCAGTAAGGACAAAACAGCATGATGGGGGCTTGAGCAAAGTAAACACATTTTAAAAAGCACTATCAAACCCATCACACTGTAATCTCAAGGTGGGCTTTGTTTTTGAAAGAATGCTTAAAGGTGATCTGCAAACATCATTCTTTTAAGATTAGGCCTTTGCTCTTTATTGCTCTTATATAAGGGGAGCCTGAAAGGCATTTCAGGTTTTAAGATTTCTTCCCCTCCCCCAACTCTGGGAGAGTCAGGGATTTTGAATTTGGTCTTTCTTGATTTTGCAAAATGACCACTGGGAAGGCCTGAGAGCAGGCCTACCAACAGAAGGGACAAAGGGGGCAATTGCCCTGGAGCCCAGCCATTCAAAGAGAACTTGAGCTCTCAGCCACCAACGCTGCTACTGTGGCACTGGCCTTCTGGATCCCTTTGAATTGCCACTGGAGCAGCAATGAGTCATGATTTTGTGATGGATGGTCCAAGACTTAGTGCTCTAGCCCAGGAGACATAGGTTCAATTCTCTGCTCCATCAGAGGCTTCCTGCGGCACACTGGGCTCTGTTTGCGTCTTGGGGCTTATCTACATGATAGTGTAGGTATCTCTTACTGCACCTCCTCAAGGGACAGTACGTAGTTCCAAGAAAAATTGTGTCTCCCCGTCACCTTGTGTCTCTCCATCTGTCTGTTGTATGCGTTTGTCTTTTGTCATATATTTCAATTGTAAGCTCTTTGGTGCACCAACCTTTCTTTTTTATGAGTATGCTATACAGAGCATAGCAAAAAGAGTTCCTTAGACTTACTTGGAGTCTCTCCAGCAAATACCAGCAGCATAGCAATGACTAACTAAATCATAGCATAGGAGTCTCTCCAGCAAATACCAGCAGCATAGAATGACTAACTAAATCACAGCATAGTGATAGAAAGGTAGCCGTGTTAGTCTGGTGTAGCTGAAACAAAATACAGGACTATGTAGCACTTTAAAGACTAACAAGATGGTTTATTAGATGATGAGCTTTCGTGGGCCACATCCACTTCCTCAGATCAAATTTTCTTCCACTATTTGATCTGAGGAAGTGGGTCTGGCCCATGAAAGCTCATCATCTAATAAACCATCTTGTTAGTCTTTAAAGTGCTACATAGTCCTGTATTTTAAATCATAGCAGGATCTTAAACATTGGAATTTAGGGAGTTGACATTTAAAACAAAAATCAGGGACCATCTGTCCCTGCCCCCTTCCACTAGTATCAAGTGGGGATGTAAAATACCATGTATTTGATTAACTGGCTAAACAATTAACATGAGGTTAACCAATTAAGGAGGAAACAACAAATGGTCTGGTAGCACTTTAAGAGACTAACAAAACATGGAAGATGGTATATCATGAGCTTTCGTGGGCACAGCTCACTTCTTCAGATGACTGGAGCTTTGAGTTTAGGATGTGCAGACTCAAAATAAATAGGAGAGAAGGGGAAGGGGGGAGGAAAAAAATTAGGGGAATCAGACAGGGAGCTAGAGGGAATTAGTAAATATCTGAAGATTGGGTAGTTAAAACTAAGCAGATAAGATTCAAAGTCAATTGACGGGAAGGAGACTATCAACTGACTTTGATTCTTATCTGCTTTGTTTTAACTACCCAATCTTCTTACGGATTCCCTCTAGCTCCCTGTCTCCCAACCCCCTCTTTTTTTCCTGCCCCACCCCTTCTCTCCTATTTATTTTGGGTCTGCACATCCTAAACTCAAAACTCCAGTCACCTGAAGAAGTAGGAGCTGCTTTACCCTGGTGTGAGCAGCCCCAACCTCTGGCCCCTTTGGGCCTGCCTGCAGCAGCCCTTGGCTCTGATGCACAGGACCTGAAGGAGACCCCATGGTAAGGATGTTAAATTTTGATTAATCAGTTAATCGAGTAATTGATGGAATTTCCAGAATGGAAACCCTGCGAACTGGGACTGCTTTGGTCCCACTCCCTCCGTATCCGTGCTGCGCCTCTGCCTTGTCTATCCCCTAGCAGAGATGGTGCTGGGGGAAGAATGGTGTTTAAGCTTTTAAGCCAGTTCCCCCCAGCACCAGCTCCTGCTCTGCTCCCCCCCTTGGTGCCTCTGATACAGTGACTAGTTGAGTAGCAACTAGTGACTCAACTACCCGATAAGCCAGTGTTTCCCAATTTATTTGGCCATGGAACCCCTAGAATTGCCTTTTAAAAAAAAAAGGTCCCTGCTGCATTTTGTTGAGGGGGGGAAAAAAAAAAAAAAAAAAAAAAAAGCCCTTGCCATGGCTGGCTGTCTCTTTAACAAGGGGCAGGGGAGTGCTGGCTCTTCGCAGAACCCTTGCTTTCACTTTGCGGATCCCCAGAGTTCCCCGGAGCACCAATTGGGAAACACTGCGATAAGCCTAGCTTTGGTTTATCGGGTAGTCAACTAGCCGCTTACATCCAGCCCCGTGCCCACCGGTTAACCAGGACCAATGAGCATCACCTGTTACGGTTAACCTTTTACATTCCTAGTATCATGCCCCTCTTTCTCTGAAGGAGCTTTCCTTTGTGAATCATACGGGATCAAGAGACCTTTTTTCAAGATAAAAGGTCTTCTTTTATCACTGTAACAGTCTATTACAGGGGCTAGTAATAGACTCCCCATGACAAGCACGAAAGGGCCAGTTTGTCATTCTAAAGTCAGCATAGTGGAACCAGGGACAAGTTGAGACCAAATTTAGGGGGTTGCTGGTTGAAGTCCACATTGCCTATCGATGATAGGGAGCTAGATGTAGGGTTACCAGATGATTTCAAAAAATACCAGACACACTTGACATTACATCACAATCTACATTACATCTTATTTACAAAATACCGGACATTTATATTTTTTCATTTATATTTTCTCAATATGTTTCCTGAACAGAAAGCTCAAATACTGTACTGGACTGTCTGGTTTAAAACCGGACACCTGGCAGCCCTACATGGAATTGAAAATATTCTAAGGGAGCACATGGGGATAATTTTTTACCCTCTTCTACTGTTTTATTGTGTCTCATTTACATAGTGTAGTTATAGTGCTGCTACAAAGGGGGACATGTTTAAGTGCTCTCAACTATTTTCCCTTACTCTTGGAGAGCAATGTAGGCCTGAATGACTTGTTGGTCAGGGTTGTCCCGGGCGCACGCAGATCCTGGGGCACATTGCGTGAGTCTGGCCCCAGGGATTCCACACCCCCCCCCAGCCCCTTTCCTCTCTACTGCGTAGTTGTGTATTGCCTGGCTGGTAGACATGCTCACTCAGTGTGAGTGTGTCTACTTGCCAGGCAGTACACAACTCCGTACAGATACACATGATAATAATAAAGCTTTTAATTAGAAAATACCAGACATTTATATGTCCCGTATTTTCTCAATTTGTTTCGTGGAGAGAAAGCTCAAATACCTGACGGTCTGGTTCAAAACTGGACACCTGGCAACCCTACCTAGATGTGTCTGACCAGTGAAAAGGGAAAGGTCCGGATCTGGCCAGTTCCTGGTTGGGGGAGGAGGGGCGGAGGACAGGAATTGTGTCCTGGCAGGCCAGCACACATCACTGATGTCTTCGCCTGGGAAATGACAGGAGAATGCTCTGGATACTTGGCATGCAAGGCCAGGGTTCGGGGAAGCGGGTTTCTGCTTTGCTCTCCTCTGATTAGCAATCTAGCCACCTCCAGACGCCTTTGCGGCGACGCAGAGTCAGACGAAGGCTTTGATTTGTCTCTGCCCTGCTCCTCGCTCAGGCTGCCAATCAATCAACACGCCAGGCTAGTCCCGCAAGCCTCCGGGAATTCACCCTTCAGTAAATACAGGTGACGGAATCTCGTGACGGAATCTCCGGACGCAGCCCGAGCGGGCAACCCCTAAGGGCCACGGCGCAGCTGCAAGATCCCGGGAGTGAACTCTCTACCAGTCCATAGTTGAGAGAAGTTTTTTTTCTTAAAAGCGGGGAGAACAGCACCTCCTCCCCCTTTGCCGCAGGGGATCTCCCCCAAACCCTTTCCCCCAGCGGGCTCTCGCCCAGAACCGAAGGGAGCGACAGCTCCCCTGCCCTGCCCCCCATAGTTCAGCCGCCGGGCAGCCAGCGAGCGGGGCTGGGCGTTCCCCGGGTGCCCGGGATCGGCACGGCCCGCTGCGCCCACCCCCCAGGGACAGGGGCGTCGCCCCGCCCGCACTTACCCCCAGCAGCAAGAGCAGCAAGAGGAGCCCGGCGCCCATGGCCCCGGACACCCGAGCCCCCCTCCCCGCTTGCTGGTGTCTCCCTGACGTAGCTAAGAGTGTGGGGTGATTTCCTTTGTCGCTCTGCCCCGCTCCAGTCCTTCGTGAGTGCCTCGAACAGGCAAAGCGAAGGCTCCACTCGCCCCTCCCTGCCTTAGTTCATAGACAGCCCCTCTGCCTTACTCCTCACCTCCCTGAGAAGAGGCGGACACCCGAGCCCCCCTCCCCGCTTGCTGGTGTCTCCCTGACGTAGCTAAGAGTGTGGGGTGATTTCCTTTGTCGCTCTGCCCCGCTCCAGTCCTTCGTGAGTGCCTCGAACAGGCAAAGCGAAGGCTCCACTCGCCCCTCCCTGCCTTAGTTCATAGACAGCCCCTCTGCCTTACTCCTCACCTCCCTGAGAAGAGGCTCTTACGTTAAAATTGCCTTCCCCTGGGCATTAAAGTGTCTCAGTTACTCTGTGGCTTTAAAAGGACCAGCAGCCTTGTGCCACTAGGGCTGGTAGCCAGGAGTCCACTATCGGATACGCATAAGCTTGTGCCCCGCCCCTAGGCCAATTAGGGCCTGGCGGCAGAGGAGTGACCGAAGCCTTCACCGCTCTGCCCCCGCGCTGCTCGCAGTTAGCGTTGCCAGATGATTTCAACAAAAATACCTGACACACTTAACATCACACTCTACATTACATTTTATTTATAAAATTCCAGACATTTCTATTTTCTCCATTTGTTTCCTAAACAGAAAACTCAAATAGTAGATGATCAGGGTCAAAACTGGACACCTGGCATAAGGCAGGGGATGGGGTGACTGCTATGGCTTCAGCCCTGTCCACAGGGCTCCCAGCCAAGCAGCTCTGTTCCAGGTGTCCAGGGCTGGCCGCAGGCAGGGGCTACTTACCACATTTAAAATGCAGAGGTGCAGTGCAACTGGCTCTGGGAGCTACCCCGGCTGTAGCTCTACAGAGTGGCCCTTATCGACTAATTATGTAGTCAGTACAAATTGTATCGACCACACAATTAGCCAGATAACGGCAATTTAACATCCTTTTGTGGCCCTTAGAAACTAACAAAAATATATAGAACCAGTGCTTTTTTTTGTGATGGTACTACACAGTACTGGTACCTGCAGTCAGAGCTCAACAACTTTTCCCCTGGAGTACCAGTACCTTTTTTTGTGTTTAAAAAACCAACCAACCAAACAAAAAAGCACTGTATAGAATCATGAGCTTTTGTGGGTAAAACCCCATCTGAAGTGGATATCACCCGTGAAAGCTCACAACTCTATGTATATTAGTTAGTCTTTAAGGTGTCACAGGACTGCTCTTCTTTTCCAGTAGACACATCATGGTCGTAGTAAATTCCTGGAGTAAAAATGGCACCTAAAGCTTCTGCTACCAAGTACACAGGGTGCTGAGAACATTTTTTTCTAACATCAGAAATGCTTCTTTAGATAAACAGACCAATGATCCCTCCTTTCTGCTGAAAAAAAAACTACCCAGCCTAAATGGCAACCGTGCTAAATACCGAATGTGTAGACAGATGCAGTCCTTGACTTAAAAGAATGACAATGGTAAAATATGATTTTTCTGTGGGTCAGTGGTCTCTGATCTGAAAAAGGTTCCCCACCCGTGCCCTAAATAAAGACAATGTTAAAACTTTTTGTAATGCCCATTAATATTTTACTTTATTTAAAACAAAGTTTGCTAAACTGACATGGTAAAGCACTTAGTCTGTTTAATCATTTTGACTTATATTTCCTTTTTTTACTGTTTATATATACTCCATTATGTTATAGTTGTTATGTTATAGTTGCGTATTTACCATTTTATGCTCCAGTAACCCAATATGAATAATTTAGTATTTACCTTAGAGATAATCGAAGGCATTTTGTCTTCGTGGGTGGGTGGTTGGCTGGTGGTTTGCAGAAATGATTATTTTCAGTGGGGTGGGCCACAGGCCAAAAAGTTTGAGAACCACTGGTTTAGTGGGATCATGTCTGCTTCCAGTGACTGGACCCAGAAACTAACATCCTGAGATTTAAAGATATTTCTCTTCTGGTTTGTGTGGAAGGGGCTTGTACTTGTACCTACTGAAGGATCTGGGTTGGATTCTCTTGGATGACCATGACAAGTATTTTCTATCTATCTTCTTCACTGAAAACACGCACATGAATGTTCTCTTTCTGATTTACAACTACAGCAATTATTTGTTGATTTAATCCAGCTGCTGTTTTAGCAGGCTGTGTATATTAAGCAGGAACAGATGTTGGAGACTCCTCCCATCCTGCCACCTCTAATGTCAAATTGGTGTACTAAGGGAATGTTTCAATGTCTGCACTGAAAATCTCTAAGAACCTTAATATTACTGCTAATAGGACTAATACAATGAATAATGGGAACTAATGAAATTCCGTGAGGATGCATACGGTTTCTTAAAATGGAAGAGTTCCAACAACTTCAAGCATTTGCTCACTCAGCACCTGCCAATGGCATCCAAATCAGCATCCCCACTCTTTGGCCCAGACTATCTTTACAAACTTTTACATTCTTTTCCAAAATGTACATCAACCATACCCTGAAGACATAACATTCCTGCAATAGAGGATAGGTTTCTATATCAGCACATTGCTAGCTAGTCTAATGCAAGGTCTGGAAAGGAGATAAACACAAAAATATGAAAACATAAAGACGTCTAATGCAAGGTCTGGAAAGGAGATAAACGCAAAAATATGAAAACAAAGAAAAGACACAGAAGCATTGACAGTTGAGAGAGGCCAGATAAGTACCAGCTGCTGAACACAAAGAACTTGGAGGCAAGTTGTTTGTAATAATCAACATTGTTTGAAAGCGGATGCAGGAACGAAGGCCAAGATTTTTCAAGGGTAACTACTGACCTTGGGTGTCCAGACTTAAACATTCAGAAGTGCTAGATTTTTAGACAGTCCTGAGTACCTGCCCATGCAAAGTTTGGCCCCACCATGAATATTAAGGAAAGAAGGGATCAGTCTAATCAACGAGTCTGACCTCTTGTATGTCACAGGCCAGAGAATTACAACTACTTACCCCTGTGTGGAGTAACACACAATAACTTGTGTTTGGCTAAAGCACACCCTCCAGAAAGACTCTAGTCTTGATTTGAAGACACAAGAAATTGAAAATCCATCACTTCCCTTAATAATTTACTCAATGTTAATCACGTTTAGAATTTGTGTATCATTTCTCATTTGAATTGGTGTGGTTGCAGCTGTAATCCTAGCTAGTTGGGAAGCTAAGGGTAGCAGATAATTTGAGCTCGGGGGTTCTGGGCTGTGGTGTTTAATGTATTATGCCAGTTGGGTGTCTGGCACCACTGATTAGCAAGTGGCAGCTAGAACAACACAGGTGGCGTGTTGTGATTGGTGCTCTCCCTGTAAAGGGCTCTTGATTAGCAAGTGGCAGCTAGAACAACATAGGTGGCATGTTGTGATCGGTGCTCTCCCTGTAAAGGGCTCATGGTGATAACGTGGTGGATCTGTACGGTGTTTCAGCAAGACAGACATCCAGAAATCACCTATCACTTTTGAAAAGCACGGCCTAGATTTGAGAGTTAAGCCACTGTTAGATCATTACATTTAGCCATTCCCATTCCATACACAAGACAGAGAACATCTACCAGACATTTCTTTGATCATCATCCATGAGCTGTTCCTCCTCCTTTCTGGAGGAAGACAAGTCACTGAGTCACTCAGAGCTAGCATGGAATGCTCCTCTCTTCTATAGACGTATGGTAGCCCGCTATACACCTATAACTGTATACTGTTTAGTGGGAAAGCATGACATAAAATTCATGTAATGTATGTAAACGGCTACAAAATGAGAAAAGTCCCAAACACAAATTGTCATGGAAAGTTCTGTGTAATTTTATTTCAACATATCAAGCACAAACAGGTTCCCTTAACTGGGGAACATGACAAGGAACGTAGTTAAAAATTTGGAAACATTTACATTTGAAGTTGGCCAGTCTGGCACCACCACTAAGTATTTTAAGGCTGTATATATAGCAGTACTTACCACTCAGAGCTACTTCAGGCCAGACAAGAAAGGCTTAGTACTGACTGCCATCTATAGAGAATATTGCAAATTTTTTTTAAAAATGGTGTAAAATAGGAAGACTATTAACAGGGTTAACAATGCAGTGGCAAAGCCCTTACCCTTCCTGACCTTTACTGAGATGTGCCTACAATCAAACACACAAACTTGCTCCCTCATATGGGGCAATGGGCAATTTCAGAGGAATTCTATACAACTCTTGTGTTATTATAATATAAAAAACAGCCACATTGCCAAGAAAAAGTCACCAGGATTTATAAACAAGCATGTCTGACATTTGACTCAGTGGATCTAGTTCAGGACCTAATCAGCTCTGTGTACTGAATGATTCCCATTTCATAAGAGTGGCAACTCTAGGAAATTGTGCATATTTACAATCTGTGCAGTGTAGAGTGATGCACATTCTCAAGTCCATCTGTGTGTGTGTCAACAGCAAAATCCTAAGAGAAACGGTGACCGAAAACCAAGTGGCTGGAGTTTTGGACCATCGTCCGGGGGTCCCCTCGCATAACTGAATGAGACCAATAAACATCTTGAAAATTGACAGTAAGAATCCTTCCCACCTCCCCAACCTTTAGAGCTAGAAAACAATCCAATGGAACCATTCTAAAGCCATGTGGATGTTCATCATTATTGGGGCACCAATACTGCTTGGTAATTATTGATTGTATCAGAAAATGATGAGACATAGAAAATAAACTGCACAGTTAAAGCTACATTTGGCTTTAGCATTAAGGCCCGTACAGGTAAAGAGGTCCTTGAAGATGTACACGTAAAAAGGCAAATGACAATCTGAAGGAACTAAACAAGGTTGGTTCCCTGGGTCCCTTTTTAGCCCGTCTCTTTTGTCCATCTCTGCTGTGTTGGTTTTAAAGTGCTTGGTGCCTCAATGGGCTCCTTGCGCGAGTGTCCCCCTCCTGCAGCCAGTAACTTTTATTGCTGCC